AGGCAACGGCAAACTTAAGGGTCAGTAAATTGTGATTAATTTTTGCCCCCCCCCCAAACCCCGCCACATAACAATTAGAGCTAAGTTCCTCTTATAAAGATTGTGTTAATAATAAATTAAGAAAGTATATTTAATGTATATAAAAAACTGCTCAAACTAATTTACCTATTTTCTTATTGGCTATCTACGTTAAATTTATTCTTTTTTATTTATGATTGTTATAGTTATTACTTATTAGTTATTACATAAATAATAGATCTACATCTACCTACGATTTTATCAGAGAATTTTAACCTTCTCCTTCAAAATTCAGATTAATTTTAGGTGGGCACATTTATACCGATAGAGGCAAATATATTTTAGGGCAAGGGATGCTGTAGCATCCCAGCATCCCAGCCAGTCCGCGCCTGCCCCCCCCCCCTTGGGAACCCTGTGCCCACGTATGTATGATTTTCGGAATCACTGTTGCTCCGCACCTATTCAATATATTATAGTCTGCAGTCCAGCGATAAGCACATCGACTCTGCACATCCCCATCGCGCGACACCCTGTCATCGTGGCCGGTTGCACTTTGCCAGGGTGCCACACGGAAATCCGAGGAGAAAAACCGATTTTCATCGAGCCGCGGCTTGTTATCGCTGGACAGAGTACCTATACATAATATAATCGTGCAAGGGGCTGCATACTCACTGCATAAACGCTTAGAAGTCAGAGCGCCGTTACCGTAAAAGAAGCAGTGCTGCGTGCGATCTGGCGGCGACGCATCAACATGTTCCTGCATGTGCAGCCGGGTGGCGTCAGACAAACTGCAGTTGGGCGCTCGCGGACCCGGCGAACTCGTCGTACACCACGTGTTGGAGCACGGGCCTGGTGGCGTTGTCGTAACGGAACTCGCCCAGCCCGTCGCCGTGCGGATTGCCCAGACAGTACTTGAAGAACACGAATATGGACAGCGAGACGAACAGCACAGTTAGTGCCGAATAATCGGCCATAATAATAAATTGGGTGCGTGTTGCTGTTGCGTGGCCCTGTTGCGGTCGCGGTGTACCTGTATGTTAATGATGTACCGCGCGTGTGACGTATCGTACGGTGTCAGGCACCGTGTATTGCACCTTTGCACCGCCACTGCACGACCGCTGCACCACACCGATGTGCTGAGATCGGAGCGATTCGGTGCGTTTGTCGGAGGATCGCGTTTATGTCGCGGGTGTGCGTCGCGTGTGCGTGTGCGACACGACTCGCGATTCCAAGCTCGCGGCTGCTACGCGTGTCCTCACTCCCACCGACCGATCGGCCGCGCTACGGCAATAATATTATTATTCATTTATTGTGTGCACAATACGATTGGCCGGGTACTCGGCGTGATTTACGCACGGTCCCCACCTGCGGGCCGACGGGCGAAACGGGCACACAAAATAATAATAACAATATTATATAATATATTATTATAATTATTATTATTATTAACATTATAATGACCCTCGACATTGGGCTGTTATTATACGATTTAGAATGTCAACCACTTACCGTCATTGATAATAATCAACGATGAATTTCATAGTTCGTACCGAATGCGCACGGAATGCAGTTCCCGTATAATACGAGTACAGAGTGCTTCAGCTAACATATTATTATATTATACATTATATAATATATAGGTATATATATATATCATGTCTAGTACATGTGCTCTCCGATTTTTTTTTTTTGAAATGTTCATACTTAAAACACTCATTATTTCGAAAAATGTTTAGACATAATATTGTACTAATATCAATGGTTGTCAATACTTACGTATTAAGGGTTATGATACGCTTTTAATTATAATATTATAATTAAGATTTTCACTCATTTGAACGACAACATTTATACATTTTTAATCTCACATAAGCACCATAGAAGAATATATTTTCTGGAGTAACATATTCATGTAAAAATCGAATTTTGAACGACTAGCCAAATCCCTAAATACAAGTCAAAGATATATTTATATTACTATCCCTATAACTCATTGTCGAAATTCGATTTTTATGATGTACACCTACACCGAAAAAATATTCTGCTTAGTCTTTAAAATATATGCTGTTAGAGATTCAAAACAATTAAAAAATATAATTTTTTTAGATAATTATGTTTCAATCATTCCAAATCAAGTAACAAAATGAGTGTTCAATTTCAAAAAAAAAACCAACCTGTATAATGTTTATAAATATTATGTTTTGTTGATATCACTGATGTATATTATTACTTTCACGTAAGTAAACCCCGTCGACGACGTTGTAATTTGTTGTATTATTGTTCCGGTGAAAATATGATTGGTCGTAAAGTGCACAGAATACTAGCGTCTCTATGACGAATTGGTCTGTAAAAGTAGCTTGGTCTCAATATGGATATTATAATCATATAGATAACATGTTATGCATTTACTATATTATCGTGAGCACAACGCCCTCGGCTGTTAATTGTTGTATACTTATATTACTTGCAATAATATAAATGGTAACTAGTATTATTATAGGTAAAATAGGTATCTACCGATAATAATAGTTTTTGATTTAAAATTTATATTACATATCACGGACCGTTACACTGTTAGGTATAATATGGGGTTCTTCTTTCTAATTTTTAGTTGACCATTTTGAATTTAGGTTTAAGAATAAAATTACACATGAATGAAAACTAAATACTGGCAGCAACTAATCGTGAATGTTTACATTGATTTGAGGCATGCACTTTACAGAACGGAGCGACTTTCGAACAATTTATCGAATGATCTGTTTGTAATTTCTGTAGATTAAATTGTAAATAAAAATGTATAGTTTTGATAATGAAATAAAATAGTAATTCATAAAAAGTAATTAAGTTATTACTTTAATAATAACAAGTTTGGTTATAATATCATGGTATTTAGAAGGAAAAAATACGTGAAATTTAAATTTAAAAATCAAATTTAGTAAATTAATTAGGTAATATTGCGTTTTATTTAATTTTACTTCAGCCAATTTCGAGTTTACTACACAAGTTGATACATCAAAATATCTTGAAAAAATCGATCGATCCAAAAATGATATTCGAAATAAGGGTTGCCATTTAAAAAAAAATAAGTTGTGTTGCACATGCGCTAGATACAAGAGTTAAAAAAATTTCAAGACAGAAATGTATGATTCATTAGTCTAGTTTAATGTCCTGAAAACAGAATTCAAAGATATTTACAGGGTAATCAGTGATAAAGTATGCCCTGTTTCCACGGACACACGGTATACATAATACAAACATAATAAATTACAACTACTAATCTCATGATTTTTCATTTCTGAATTCTGGACATGTTTTTGATGATAAAACAAAAAAAAAACTTGGGACTAATTCAACGAATACTTAAAAGCCGACGTTAAGCCAATATCATTAAAATAAATGCAGGTCTATAATTTTATACAATTATGATAACTGTTATTTTTTTCTGTAACCACTGGAAATTTTATACGTACAAACAAATATTTGTTTATCGTGAGACAACAAATCCCTGTATAAACCCCCTCTTCAAAATGTAAAATTAAAAAATTGGGCTTCTAGGTGCACATCCTCGGGTGTTTAGGATTGCCATGTACTAAATTTCAAAACCATGCTTGTGAAAGGCTTGACTGAGAATCGTTTAAACACACCCCCCTCATTTTCAGTGGCTCAGTGCACACAAATTCCGGGACGTAGCCCATTCGGCTCTCGTCTTTCAAAAGAGTCAATTCCCAAACGGCTCCGGTTTTTTACAACACAAATTCCTTCACCCCTTAGACAATGTTTTATAAAAAGTTATATTTAGTAAACGAAATGTAAAAAAATAGAAAAATTGTAAGAAAAATGTATACATGTATACGTAAAAATATAAAAAAAATCATAAATTAGGTACATTTTTGACTTCGAGCCTTAATTTGGGTCTCGGATTGTATTTGGGAAAGTAGTGAATAACCTTAAAGATGTTAGGATGAGCAGAATTGAATTCGCTGTTGAATCTGTTGTTATTCATAGCCATTTGTGGTCAAAGGAAGGGAAGCTGAACACTTAGCCCAAATTTTAAATATTAATGTCGGTATAGATAATATGTTCAATGTTTTGGTATTTTCAATATTATCAATGTGTCCGATATTTTTGGTTAAATTTAAATTATACAGTGGTATACAGTATACCGGTCGTAAACGGTATATAGATGTACCGATATCATCGTCAGCCGTTTGGGAATTTGCCTACTCGTAATACCTCTTTCGACGGGAACCGTTTGGTAATTATTGACCTACGCAAACAATGGATGGGACCTTTTTGGAATGCTCCAGAATTGCGGACTAAGTCAGATAACGAACCTTTTTGAACGAATTGCGTCCTGGATTGAAGTTTTTATTCTTAATAAAAATAATTATTATAAATTAAATATTTATTATCAACATAGCATTATTATATGTTTTTAGTGGTTTGTATACTTTTATAGATATTCTCCTGTCCCAAACGTACAGACATTTGTGGAAGTTTTAAAAAAGTGTAATCTATCGATACTATATAAAATAAAATATTAAGTTAGTAGTAAGTAGTCTAGAAAACGATAAGTACCCAGGGAATTATTAAGAGGAAGAATACTTTTTATAGGAAATAAAATAAATCAATAAGACAGTAATATTTTTTTTATAAATATATGATAATGATTTATGATTTATATCATGATATTATGTCAAACATTTTAGGAACCATTTATGATAACTAATTGTAGGTGGAAAGGTATTGATTCTGGGAGGCAATTCGTTCAAAAATGTTCATTTACCTGATTTGGGACTCAATTCCTGTGTGCCAGCATTGTATTTTATTACTAAAGAAGATTATAGGTTACCCACACCTTATCCCAAAACTACCTACTGGCTACTAGCACAGTGCAACGGAATAACGGAATTTAACAATACTACTACTAGCCGTCATCCGAGTCAAATGCTCGTGAAGAACTCGGCGATACATGAATATATTGACCGTATAGTATTTAACTTTTTTTTATTATCATGATTTTATCTACAGCTATTACAACTATAGATTTATTTAATTTTAATATCAAATTATAAGTTGGTATTTAATCTAAATAAATGAAGTACAATTGAAAATTATACCATCAATAATGGTTATAATGAGATGTTACGAAATGTTAAATATATACATATTACATAATATTAAAGTATATGAGGGGAGTGAATATTTTATAATTGGCCCGCGTGCAAAATATATCATAACGAGACGGGCAGACGGTTATGTATATATAGATAGTTGGTAAGTATAATTATAGTCTCATATAAATCCAACTCTATAGCCATACATATTATACACATTTATTTACCACTGTGATTTTAATTTAAATAACAATTGGTAGGTATAATAAATATAGTTAATTTTGGGACTATTTGAAATTTTTTGTAGAACTAGGAGAATCTTGGATGATCGGTTGCATAATAGGATAGCAATAATCTAACTTAACCTGAGTGAATGTGTTTTGACACACTGCACAATTTCGGCTATACTCTTATTATTAATAATATCAATTGGTTTCTTTAATTAAAATAAAACCTATAACGTTCTTAAATGTATATCATATTTAATATTTATATATAAATTATAATTATAAATATAAATATGCATAAAATAAAAAAAACGCCTGTTGTTATGTTTAATAAATAAATACAGTTTTCGGGTGTTGCCTTGAAAAGGGAGATAAATTGTATACCTATAATAATGTTATGCAATGTCCTCTTTCTTTCCAAAATGCTAATTGTTGAAAACAATCTTTTGATTACATCACTAGAAATTAGAATAATAAATTTAATAACGCCGATTTTCTAGTGTGTGCGTTGTCGCGTGAATATTAACATGGCAAAATGTAAGTATATTATGTAGAATTGGCTATCAGAGTATAGGAATAAATATTATATTTGGCGATCTTCAAATGAATAAGATTGTAATAAGATGGTTCCATAATATTGGTAACCATGATGTTTAATCAACATTTACCCGTTAAATAATACAATAAACTTCATGTTTATTATTCGTCTTTGAGAAATATTTGTCATTTCAAGGACCGGGCAATAATTTTTGCAGTTAAATAACAAATATTATGCACAGCGTTGATGGTTAGGTTTGTAGAGTATTAAAATCAATATTATTCAGTCTTGTAAAGAATACTTTTATTTTGTATTCGGAATACGTGTTCGAATAAATGAGTATCAAGGTATTTCGAATAGAGGTATTCGTATG